CTCCACACCAGCCACGGCACCTGCCAGACGGCGACAGCGCGGGATCTGCCGCGCCCCCCACAACGCTACTGCGCCCCCAACTTTTGTCTGGGCCCAGATCTGAATCGAGGAAGCCAGACTCCAAGCGCACCTCGCCCCTTCACCCCTAAACACCCCAGTAGGCTCAACGGATGCTCAGAGAGAATTTCTGAATGAACGGCCTCATTCATGCTGCCTGGTGTAGCCGGAGCCAGGGTTCTGTTTTATAGGAAACAGAGGGCAGCTCACAATATTTTCAACGGTGACAGTCCCGTGGCAGTGGGGTCAGCGGGGCTAAGTCTACAGAGGGAGACAGGACAGGGGCCAAGACAAGAGGTGAAAAAGAGCAGCTGACTGAGAACAGAGCAAGAAAACAAGGAGACTGACCGTGCTGCCTCAGAGATGTCCCTCGGGTGCCCAGACTGGGACGTGACCAGTGTCAGCTGACCTCACCCCTGACCTGCTCAGGCTGGCGTGTGGCCCACGCTCCCCACCGAAAACACCCTTTCCGAGCAGAATCCCTGCCAAGAACCACTGGCAGGCCCCCTCGGACGTAACCAACCAGCAGCATGGACAAGGAGAGTCCGCAGCGCGGAAAACGGGTCTGAAAAGCACCAAGAATCACGCAGGTCAAGCGCATGGAGTGGTTTTGTTGGAACCACCAAGACTAGCTGTCCATACCCCCCGGTTCCCAAGGCGGGGCTCCTGGGACCACCTGCATCAGCATCCAATTCACAAGGGCCCCCAACCCTCGCCCCATGCTCCCAGAGCCCCCTTCCCAAGATTCCAACTCCGCTGGTCTGGTGATGGGGCAAAAAGACCCGCCTGGTCCCCGAGGTGCACACCCTTGCAGGTGGTTCTGACACACCTCATGCACTCACTCCTCCTCCTGCCAGTGGGAATCAGCACGGCTGTGTGCGGGCACGCCTCCCAGCACTGGGGATTCGGCTGGGAGCAAAATCTGACACTCGCCACACGGGCTTCCATTCGAGAGGGAGGAGACGAGAAGTGTACCAGTCCGGGCCAGGGGAAGTTGGGCGGAGAGAACCAGCCAGGGCAAGGAGGTGGGGTGTGGAGCACAGGGGCGGAGGGGAGGGGCCGGAGGCGGGGACATCAGGAGAAAACGGACGGGTGGAGAAGAGTTCTCCGAGCCGGGGGGCTGCAAGTGCACAGGCCAGGTGCAGATCTAACCTTGCCCGGAGCGCAGCGGGGGTGTGCCTCGGCCTCTGGGAGGTGATCTCTAGGCCGCTGGAGCGTCCTGCCAGATGGTTTACGTGGGAGCCTTGGGCTGGCCAGAAAGGACCAACGTGGCTTAGGGCTGGAGACAGGTTGGTCCCCAGGGCAGTCAGACATGCCTCTAGGATGGCACCCCAATAAACTCTCTGGACCACGAAGCTTGGGGAGCTTCCCTGGCTAGCGATGCTCAGAGAATGCTGTCTTCTCATTGCCAGTAAGTGACGCTGTCCACGATGCCACCAGGAGACATTTGGAAATGCCACGTTCGGTGCCCTCCCGGGCCTGCCCTCGGTGCCTCCTCCCCCGGCTGATTTTCACCTGTGTCCCTTTTACCACGATGAACCATAACAGCCAGTATGGCAGCATTCGGTGAGTCCTGCGAGTCTTCCTAGTGTCAAACCTACAGGTCGTCTTGGGGACCCCAAACTTGTAATTAGTGTCAGAAGTGAGGGTGGGCTTGGGGGCCGGCCTCTCGTATCACACACCTGGGTAGGCAGAGGCTCAGTGGCAAGCCAAAAGGGGAGGCAGGAAGTGACGTGAGCTGGGCTGCCCTCCTGCACGCCCGGGGACAGGCCACGGTGGCCTTGGGACCGGCTACTCCCCCAGCGAGGAGAAGCTGGTGCTGACGGCAGCAGACCCCGACTCAGGGGTACACCCAGGCCCCACATGCCTGGCGAACACGAGTGAACCAAGGGCAGCCGAAGCTCAGCCCTGTATCCCCCGAGCCACCGCCCGCCCATGTCTCTGTTGAAAAAGGCTCTAGTTGTGAGAACTAATATTTCCCGCACACTCCTCCACGCCGTCACCACAGCGACTAACAATCCACAGCCAGCCAACCCGCTTGCTTTGGAAAACGCTTGATAAAGTGAAAAACAGGCCGCCAGCCTGCCTCGAGAGGCTGCCTGCAGTCTGAGAGCAGGCAGAAACTTCCAGAAATTGCCCGTCTCCTGGCAAAGGTACTCCAGGCTGGCAGGACGGCCAGAGGAGCAGACAGCTCAGCGTCTCGCAGCTGGCCCTTCCAGGAACCCGGCGAAGTTGCAAGGCCCACCTGGCACGGCCCAGGTGGCCCGCGGAGCCAGGAGCTGGGGCGGGGGGGTGGGGCAGCAGTTTGGGGAAGGCAGGTGACCTAGCCTGGTGTCTTAGTTTCCTACGGCCGCTCTAACAAAGGACCACAGATCGGTGCCCACGCGGCCCCAGTGTATTGTCTTACAGCCCTGGAGGTCAGAAGTCCAAAATCAGCTGCCCCGGCCTACGGTCACAGTGTTGGGAGGGCTGGCTCCTTCCGGAGGCTCTAGTGGACAATCTGTCTCCTTGCCTCTTCCAGCTTCCAGACGACACCTGCATCCTCGGCGCCTGGGCCCTTCCGGCACCTTCCAAGCCCGCGATGTATCACCTGCTTCTGTCACCATGCTGCACCTTCACGCGTGGGCAAATCTCCCTTGCCCCCGCTTCTAAGGACTCTTGTGCCGGCACTGGGCCCACCTGGGGTGACCCAGGATCATCTCCCAAACGAAGACCCCTGCGTCATGTCCGCAGAGTCCCTTTTGCCACATAAGGAGGTAATAGTCCCATGGACACCTTGGGGGGCCATGACTCAGCCCACCACCCCTGGGTTCCCAGAAAGAGAGCCCAGGGCCAAGCTCACTGCTGCTCCCTTGCTGGGGTGGGGGCAACCCCAGGCTGGCAAGAGTGAGCGGGAAGGGAGGTGAGGCAGGTCCACCCCTGAGCTGACCACAGCTTCGGAAGAAAATCCATCAGTGCTCAGCCAGGCAGCCTCCCCCGCCTGTGGAGCCGTGGCCCTCCCAGCCACCCAGCAGGGAAGTGAGGGAGAGGCTTTCGTTCTCTGGTGCCTTCTGGTCCTGCTTTGCCTGATGGGGCGTGGACTTGCTCGTGCCGGCAGACCCTCTAATCAGCACACCCCATTCCCTGCAGCATGGCCCCTCAGCCGCATCCAGAATCCAGAAGAGCTGCGGTAGCCGAGCCCACAGAGGTCCCACTGGGCTGGCCCCGGATGCGGAGACGCTGCGGAACCCTCCACGGGGGCTGATGAAGGACAAGCAGCTGACCAGCCCTCACCCCGTGGGGTCCGAAACAGCCTGCGGGCTTGGGAGTGACGGCGGCACAACGGAGGCCGCTGGGGCCAGGTGGATCCGAGACGGGCATGAAGCAGCCCCCATCAGAAGGAAGGCGATCCGTTCATCTCACTACGCCCAGGGCCATGCATGGCACAAAACGTTCAGCCCGGGCTCAGCGAACGAGGTGCCAGATGACTAGACCCATTCAGGCCCGCACACATCGCTAACAGGTGTAACGGGGCAGTGGGGGGCGGGGTGCCTCTCCCCTCTGTCCTCATGTGAACGTGAGGACAGCACCAGCTCTCCTGGGGGTGTTTCAGGGAGGCGATGCTTGTGAACTCTCAGCTTTGCTCAAAGGCTGAAGAAGGAGAAAGCCGAAAGGTGTGTGTGGCGGTTAATCCTGTCAGCTGGACTGGGCCCCGGAAGGCCTGGACACCGGATTCAACACTCCTTCTGGCTAGGTCTGCGAGGATGTTTCCAGAAGAGATGAGCACTTGAACTGGCAGACTGAGCAAAGCAGAGAAGACATGGATGACACGGGCGGCCCTCACGCAATCCACTGAGGACCCAAATAGCCCAAAAACGTGGAGGAAGGTGGGATTCACCCTCCCGGGCCTGCCGGCTGAGCTGCACGTCAACCCTGTCCTCGGTCCTCCTGGCCCGCCTGCCTTGGAATTACGGCACCTGCTTTGCTGGGTGTCTGGCTGTGGACAGCAGATCGTGGGGCTCCAATCACGTAAGCCCATCTGTCATAATAATTACATCTAGATGTAGACAGATGGATAGATGGGTCACTCTGTTGGTTCTGTTTCTCTGGAGAAGCCCAACTGATACAGTGCAAACCCTTTCTACTACTGAAACATCCCCCATAATAGTCTTTGGTGGCTCAAAGACAGGGTCACTTTCCTCACCAACATTCCTGTGTTCAGAGTAACAGAGTGAATATTAGAGGGAAAAAAGTTCTTAATAAAGTAAACCAGGTAACGACAGTTGTTAGGAATCAAGGTTTTTGGGTGGGCCCTAACACGGGCCTTTTCAAGGTCAACTTTTACCAGGAGACAATTTGGCAAAAGCGTTCCTGATCCTGCGCCAGCCCCCGTGAGAACGCGGTTCTGCGCCACGTCGGGTCCAACGGCGCCGACTAAGGTGGAGAAACGTTTTGAAGAGCACTTCTAATAGCCCGTGTCTGTGGCATGGACTGTCACGGACAGCGTCCTCAAAGCCCGGGGGTCACCTGTGTCCGCCTCGGGCTGCCGAAGTGAAAGCTTTTCCATGGCCACCTGCTCTGGTGCGGAGCTGGGTCTCACGGGACGAGGACGCTGTCAGCGCCCGAGCCTTTGCTCATCCATCAGGGGGGATTAACTCTTGAAGCCCCATCGTGGTTTAGATCAGAACAATCAAAACTGCAATCGGCAAACACACACAGATACCGCAAATAAAGCCTCACCGCTGAGCCGGGGCTCCGAAACCAGGCTAAGGAGACAGAAGCTGCCGTTGACACTCTGAATTAGCCACGGGGTCCCCAGCCCTCCCGTCGCGGCTTCCCTGACCCCGGGGACCAGCTCCGGGGCCCAGCTCCGGGGCCCACCCCTCACCCTCTACCCCCCTTCCCGGCCCAGCAGTCCGCCCACCACAGCCCAGAAGGAAGGCACTGACCGAGGTGCTCCTTACCTTGACCAGCTCCTTGAATTTGGGGTCATCCTTGGAGGTGGGGTCGATCATCGTGCGCTCCTCGTTCTCCTCTGCCGGGGAAGAGAGTCACGGTCAGCACTAGTGGGCGCGGCAGGGCTGTGGGGACGACCGACTCCCCTCGCCCGTAGTCGGGGAGAGGGACTGAGAGCAGAGAAGCCAGTCATTCCCTCAGTGGGTCACGCACTGGGAGGACAGCACACACACGGGCTGAATCGGATCCGTGGGAAAAGCTCCTGGCAGCCGCTGTTAATAAATACGTACACCGAGAAAGCTCCCCACTCCGTAAAATAGGATGAACCAAAAATTTAGACAAAAAGTCGCAAAAAAAAAGGAAGGGGGTGGATGATGTTTCACAATAAAATGTGTTCATGCCTCTTCTGTTTATTTGTTACCCGTTTTCCCTCCATGTTCAGGCCTCGATCTACAGGCACTGGGGCCCAGGAGCCGCTGCAGAGGGGCTGGCATGATAGTGAGGAAGAGGGGCTACACACGGGAAAGCCCCCCGGCGGCCTGACACCATCCAGAACAAAACTGGCCACGCCAGCGCACAAGGAGAGGGTGTGGGAGGCACCGCGGACCACACAAGGGGATGCGGAGGGGGAGGCCTCGGGACCTGAGCAGGCGATGACCAGGCTCCCACAGAGCTAGGGCCCCTGTCCATGCCAGTGGGAGCAGAATGGCTTTGAGAGGACTGGCTTCACAATAGCAAATTTTAAAACCTCACTAAATGGAGAACTATTTTTGGAGTCATACAGGTCTGATGCTTGAGAGAGACGCTCCAGGTAACACACAGGAGAACACACAGGGGTCCCTTGTGATGTAAGGCCCTCAGCAGCCTCCCAGTGCTCCTGGGACCAAGGCCAGCACCCTCCATGTGCCTCCAAGGCCCTCTGCAGCCTCACTTCCTCAGCTGTCCCTGGCACTCTCCACCCTCCAGCCCTTCCAGCCTTCCCTAGCTCCTCAGCAAGCGTCACCACTGCCTGCCACAGGACCTTGGCACATGCTGCTCCCTATCTGATACCCTCTTCCTCCACTACACATCCCCTTCACCTTTCAGATCTCAGTTCCAGGTGCTGACCAGGTCAGTCCTTATCAAGGTCACATGAGCTTCAGGGACAAGCAGAACCTTATGGAACAAACTGAAGGACACCAACTCCCTTTGCCCAAGAGTGGCTATTTATAAAGATGGCAAAACGAGGAGGGTTAGGGCCCAGGGAAAGGCAAGTTCAAGGCATTATCGACAAAACAAGAGCCTGCCATGTGTTTAGGATAAACCTTCTAGTGCCCCCATTGGTCTAAATCAGAGTTCTCAACAGGAGCAACTGTGTCCTTCCCCCACCCCAGGGGGCATGTAGCAATGTCTGGAGACATTTTTGGTTGTCCCAGCTGGTGGCACCTCATGGATAGAGGTCAGGGATGCTCAAACCCCACAAGACCCAGGATAGCCCCCACGGTAAAGAATTACCCAGCGCCAGATATCCACAGTGCCGAGATGGAGCATCCTGTTCTGTGTCCAGCTAATTTCCAGACCCACGAGTGAGTCCCCAGTTTCCCCTTAGAGAGGGTCACCCAGGAGCATGCTCTTCAGCCAGACTGAAGATGACCAGCAGCATGTACAGTGAAGAGTCATGCTCTTCCAAGAGGAGAGGGGCCACAGTGGACCCCAGCAGGATCTCAGGGTCCTTGTCCAGCACTTGGCTTCAGGTCTGCCAAGCTGAACCTGTGTTTGCATTTCTCTGCAAGCTCTTGCTGGCCTGGCCTTGTCGTGGAAACCACAAAGGACGGACCAACCGGGACTTCCCTTTGAACCAGGGTTTAGAGATAAGCAGAATGTTCCACAACCGCCTTTCAGACTGATCAGATCCCAAAACACGCTTTAAGAAAAATGTGTCCAGGGGCGCCTGGGTGGCTCAGTCGTTAAGCGTCTGCCTTCGGCTCAGGTCATGATACCAGGGTCCTGGGATCGAGCCCCGCATCGGGCTCTCTGCTCCTCGGGAAGCCTGCTTCTCCCTCTCCCACTCCCCCTGCTTGTGTTCCCTCTCTCGCTGTGCCTCTCTCTGTCAAATGAATAAATAAAATCTTTAAAAAAAGAAAAATGTGTCCAGACTGTCACCTCATCAGTGCTGGCTGTGATGTGGTCTCAAGGAGGTGGGTACCGGGGCCTTCACCACTTGGTGGGTCCTACCCAGCAAGCCCATGGCCTCAGGACAGCTCTGGCTTGCGCAGAGATTAGGGTGTATTAACTATGTTTCTTACTTTCTATATTTTCGAATGCTTTGACACCTTGGGGCCTGGGGACCTAGAGACACTGCCCCTCCCAGGGCCCGGGACACACCAATCAGGAGAGCCCCTAGAGCCCCCCGAGATTATCCCAACCAGCCAGTCCACACCTGCCTACACTGCCCCACCCCGTCCTTCCCACAAGAAAAGAAAGGCCGCGCCTTCCCTTCCCTCCTGCTTCCTGCCCAACCCTGGCGTGCCCCCACCTCGGGACTGGGCGTATAACAAGCTGTCTTTTCTTTTTTTTTAAAAAGATTTTATTTATTTATTTGAGAGAGAGAGAGAGAAACAGCATGAGAGGGGATAGGGTCAGAGGGAGAAGCAGGCTCCCCGCCAAGCCAGGAGCCCGATGTGGGACTCGATCCCAGGACTCCGGGATCATGACCTGAGCTGAAGGCAGTTGCTTAACCAACTGAGCCACCCAGGCGCCCACAAGCTGTCTTTTCAATGCTGTTCAACTCTCGATCCGTTGGCCTCATCATACGGAACTACTAATACAACCGACGTTTGAAATCAGACAGGCAGAAACTTACAAAGGAAGACGGGGTTTTCTTTCCTACCGACTTTTCTAAACGTGACCTTGAGCTAAGAGCCCAGACTCTCGGATGCCACCTGGCGTGATGTCTGGTCACCAGGCCATCCCCCTGGTGCTCCTCCTCAGCCTCACCAGCCAGGGGAGCTCAGCAGCGTCACGACAGGGGTTGGCAGAGCCCACGGTACCTAGCAGGGTGTCTTCGGGGTGGACATCTGCCGAGGCGGGGGACATCGGCGAATTGATGGCATGTCTGCCTTCTTCCTGCAGGTCACTCACTGTCGAGAAAGGAAAACAAGGGTCAGCGTCAACGGAGTACCGTGGCCTCGCATGTCGGCAGTGGAAACACGCAGGAATCAACTCCTGCTTTTCAAGCATTTAACAAACATTCCTAAATGGCCTGTCGCCCAGAAAGAGTCCGAGCAAAAATGCTCCGAACGGAGAATTCGTTCTGCAGTGCTTCCCTCTGGCGCCAAGTATTTCCTGATGCCCGCCAAGCCCTGCCAGTCTGTTTCCGCTGCTCTTTGGAATACATGACTAAGACACGGAAGCTTCTGGATGCTTCCAGATCCACCCTAGCCTGCTGAGATAGACAAAGCTGGAACCGCAGCGACAGGGCCTGAAATGGCGGGCTCTCCGCTGCTCCCTGGAGAGCTGTGTCCTCAGCCATGGGATCTGGGGGTGGAGGCCGCTCCCAACGTGCACACAGGCAAGTCCCAAATTTAGAGCGATGCTGTTGTCAATGGTCAGGTTCAAGGGAACAGAAGCCTGAGAGCAGGTAATGGCCAGCACTGGGGCAACAGAGCATGCAACAGAATCTAACCAACCTGACCCGAGGCTTCGAGCTGGAGGCACCATGACCTGCGGTGTGGACCACCAGCCGCTCTGTGTGTGTGTGTTGGGGGAACACTCAATAATCACAGGGTGCAAAGGGCTACAGGATCAGAGGCACAGCATGGATGCCAGGGGCAGAAAGGATCCTTTGTCCCCCAGGAAAACGCCTCCAGTCACATCTGCCAGAGTGTACCACCGGGACCCCCGGGGACCAACACCCTTGCCCTGTCCCACTGTTTCCTCCGGTGCCCACCTACTCCTGGAACTCCAGCGTCCAGCCCCAGGATCTGATTCAATGGGTGGGGCCTGGGCACCTGATGCTTTTGACAGCCCTGGTTGAGAGCTCTGGGCCACAGTCCCCCACCACACGCCACGGACTGGCCTCCGCATTGGTGGTCCTGGGTCACCGGTGAGCTCCGGCCTTCTCTTCCGTGAAAACTTCTCATACGTGAAAACCTCTTTCCTCTTCCAATGCCAGAGTCACTGTGAACCGTTCACACCGCCTATCCCAGGCATCTGAAGAGTAACCAAGGGGACAGGGCCTGATGGCTTTGGAGCAGGCAGGCTGGGGCGGTACGCCCCAACTCTGCTAGTGGTGAGACCCCAGGCAAGTCCCAGTCACCCCTCAGGGCCCCTGGGAGGATGAAATGATGAATGTCAGCTCTCCAGCCCAGAGCCAGGCACACAGTGGGCTCCGTGGACGGCCAGCCCTCTGCCCCGCGAGAGAATGCCCGCGTCTCACACCGGAAGGCCCTGAGATGAGGCTTATTACAAAGTAAACTCTCGCGTCCCCACGTCCCCTAGCAGCACGATTCACAAGAGGCGGAAGCACCCTAAGAGCCCACTGATGGGGGGGTGACTGAGCAAGAGGCGACCTACCCGTACGACGGAACGCTACTCGCCCGTAGGAGGGAAGGCTGTGCTAACACCTGCTACCGCACGGATGAACCACGGATGAAGCCACGTGGTAGTCACAGTAGGACAAACACAGTGAGGGACCCAGAGTCATCAAGCCTCAGAGGTAAAGTCGGACGGCGGGGGGAGGGGGGTTCGTGTTTAACGCGGACGGAGTTTCCACGCTGGACGGTGAAAAGCTTCAGGAGACGATGGTGGCGTCACGCACACGCTCACAAAGGGTTAAAATGATACATTTTATGTTATGTATGTTCTACCACAATAAAAAAAAAAGAAAGAAAAGGAAAAGTGGACCCTCTGCCAACAACATCCCGGTCTGGAAGTTGGAAGTCGTCCCCGCGGTCAGCCGTGCACGCACACCCGCCTCCCCAGGGCACGTCCTAGGAACAGACGGCACGCACAGCCGTCTTCGTGTCCCTGACCCCTTAGCTTAACCCTGTGCGAGACACACGCAAACGCTCAGCACCTTCAAGTGTGATGATGCAGAGGTAGGTTTTGGAGATGCCCCCGCCCCGCTCCCCCAGCAATAGTCCACAGACGCCCACGGGGGGCCCAGGCCAGCTCCGAAAGCAGCGACCACATTTCAGCAATCGCTTTCACTGTGTAATGAGTTACAAGGAGCATCTTAGCCAGCAAAAAGCTTCCAAAGGCAGAAGAAGGAAAGCGGAAAAGGGGATCTTGCATTGTATACACGAGGAGCTCCTGAACCGGTGAGCGGGGTGTATGCGGAGACCCTGAACGCCTAAGTCCCATTTCCCAGGCCGATATCACAGAAGGACGAAGAGGCCGGGGTGGGGGGGTCCCTTGAGGTCCAGGTGGTCGGGGATGTGGTTATGTTCACAGCCCGGGAAAGAAGAAAAGGCGGAGGGCGGGACAGGTGAGTCATGACAACGAGCCCACAACTCGGCTCAGAAAGATGCCGCACGAGTCATGCTTTCACCGGGACACAGGCCGTGCGACGGGGGGAGGGCGGAAGGGTGGACACGCAGAAATGCTTCCAGGGGGCCCTGCTGTCTGATCTCAAAGACACGGGGAGCAGGGGAAGAGAAAGCAAACAGCATTTTCAAAGCACAGAAATTGGGTCACATGGAAACAGAAATTTCCACTCTGCCCTTCAACATCAAAGATAACACTAAACAGGACCCGAGATTTCTCGACCTTAATAAACGAGGAACGCTCTCACAGAACCGCCCGGGCTCTGGCTCAACACCACATTCCAAAGGAGCGTGTTGTGTGCAAAGCTCTGAGGGAAACAAGGACAGGGCCAACGCTGGCGAGCCCGGGTCTGTGACCACAGAGCCAGGGGTCCAAATCCCACTTTACCACACGCGGGCGCGTGGCCTGGAGGGGTCCCTTCACCTTGCCAAGCCTCAGTTTCCCCATCTGTAATATGGGGGTGACAGCACTCCTCAGGGAGTTCTGAGGCCTAAGTGAGACCATGAGTGCTCAGCTCCTGGTTCAGAGCACAAGCTCTGTGAAGGTGAGGAACGGAGATGGGAAAGCAGGCTCCAAGAGAGGGACAAAGGAAAGAGTGGAGAAGGGGAGGGCGTGCCTCTCCCGCACCCCAGGAAGAACCAGGGAAGGCTTCCTGGAGGAGGCAGCAATTGAGTGCAGCTTTGAAAGATGGCAAGAATCTGGAGAAGGGACTTTGGGACTCTCTACAAAGCATACGGGTAACAGATCGGAGCCTGGACTCTGGAAGCCCACCACGCAGCCACATCGATGCTGAACCACGGGAGGGTTCGACAGATACCTCTTCAGGACTCTATTTCTCAGAGCCTGCGTTCCCCAGGGGACACAGCCCCGTCACTGAGGACCTTTCTGTCTATATCTGATTACCGTCTTCCAAGGGTCAGTCTGACATTTGGAAGGAGGGGCTCCTCTTGAACCATGGCTTCTCCCTAAGAACCCCACTCTGCCAGTTTAGTGGCTTTCCGTTAATCCCTGGAATGTTCTTGTTTTTAAAGTACTGGTCCATTTGCCAGAAAGCCGAACACTTCAAAGATGCAAAATGCCGGCTGCCTTGAGTCTCGGAGAAAGAACCGCTCGCCTGGGAGAGCCGGCGTCTGGTGCGCACAACGGGTGTGGACATTCAAACGGACGGGGGCTCGATGCCATGAGGCTGAGGACACACTGATTTCCTGAGTGCGTGCCACTGTTCTGAGATGAATGCCCTTGTCCACATAAAACCTGATAGCCAGCCACGAGGAAATCCATGGCAAAGGTTCCCGCTGCACCCAAGTCCACCTCCCAGGGGTGCCACTGCATGGCCATGGGCCGCACAGGGGACACGAGGCTGGGGGAAAAGCCAGGAGGTTGAGAGGAAGGATGGAGGCCAGGTCAGAAGACAGAGCCAAGGGGGGGTGGGGGGGCCGCTGGTTAGCACAAGTGCCCCTTTGGGGACGGCCACCCCTCACTCAGCGGGGGCAGAGGGCAGACCGGGACATGCAGACAGCAATCACGTCTTACGAGCTTTCAGAAAAGCTCAAATTTAAGATTTAGTGTGGAATCTCCCAATTTACGAACGTAAGCACATCGTTCCAATTCTGTGGGCCAACCCGGGGCCATCAGTTTGCAACCTCAGGTCGCAGTGAATGTACAATCCACGTTCCCACCCATCCGTGGGAAGTGGACAGAGGGCCACTAATGTTTCCTGAGTACCCATTACGCACCAGGCAACTTCCATGACATCCATTCATCGCATCTCCTAACAAGTGAGGGAGCGGCTGGGTCCTAGCAGGGCCAGCACCTGTTACATGGGAAGGCACCTGATATACACCCCCCAGTGAGCCCCAGAGTCAGGACTGAACCCGGTTCTATGTGGTCCCGCACCTCACTATGCCTGGCTAAGTCCTACGCACCTTCAAGCCTCAGCTTATTGGCAACCTCCTTCAGGAAGCCCTCCTGGGTGCTCCCTTCCCAAGCTGGGCTCCCCTCTGCCAGCTCACATCACACAGCCGTCCAACTTTCTCCTTCCTGGACCGTCTGCCCACCCACACCAGCACTAGCTCAGCTCCTGTGCACTGTAGGTCTTCATATTTGAGGACCAGTACAATGGAAGGCTTCGAACCCTGGAGCCGGTCTGCTGGTTTCAGATCCCGGCTCGACCACTGATGAGCTGATGATCCTGGGCAAGCTACTTATTTGCTCTGTACTTCAGCTGCCATCTGTGAAATGGGGGCACCCCTCAGTAAGAGATTACAAGACTCAACGAGGTGCTGGCATGCAGTAAGGGCTCAATAAATGCTAGCTTTTAGCATCTGCTGGATCGATGTATACAGGCATGTTTCCAAAGCCCGTTCCTTTTCCATCACCCCACCCAAGGACTGGGCAAGGCTCAAAAAAAAAAAAAAAAAAACCTCTCCTGCCTGGAATTACAAGCACATAAAAAGGAGGAAAGAACTGGAAACTAAAACCTCAACACTTGAAAGCATCTCATAAAGAGCCTGCCATTTGCACCCCAGGCCAAATGCAAAGGTTCCATCTTTGATTTTTTTTTTAATCTTTTTCTTTGTATGGGTTTCATTTA